CATTTGGTGCTGTAACATTATGTTTCTCTGATATAGACTACAAGTTGGAACTTTTTCAAAATATTGCTCATGGTCATCTCAAATCTGGTTTTTTTACAGGTGTACTGCCAAAGTATTTTAACTCAGAGTGGTCAGTGGCGCAGTTTCATTTGAATGAAGGTTTGCAATATAATGTTGCCTTTGGTCACCAAAAGAACACGATTGTGATACTTGGCATGGATGGAAGGTATCTCTTGTGGATCATATCTTTGTGCTGCTTTTTGTGTATTGCACTTTTCCACTTCCTCCATGTATTGCTGGTAGATGTTAGCACACTCAGGAAGAGCATGTTGGGAATATGACAACTAGGTTTTATAACCTCGTATTTTTGCTTCCTGGAGATTTCTTTTCCCCCCTTTTCCTTGTTTGGTGGGAGTGGCGTGGAGGAGTTGTCTTTGAGCTTATGTATTGCTTATAGGAATTCGTTGACAATAGAATACCATGTTTGAGTAATGATTAGATAGTAGGTCATGTGCATCAGTACAAGCATGGGAAAGGCCTGGGAAAAAAAGAAGGAAGAATGACATTTGGATCCCTTTGTAAGGGAATTATTGACACTTTGGTTCCTTAAAAACATGACTTTTGAGATTAACAACTTTTTTAAAAAAGTGAAGGCCAAGTGCTAGTGATTCTCCTGTAAGGGGCCCGAGTGTCTTTCTCCCGAGAAAGGAAGCATGGAATCTTAATGTAAACTGTTGTTGTTAATAACAGGGTCATTGGACTTTTGAACTGGTGAATCAATCTGTTAGACTATCCGGTGAACAGTTATGGATGGGGTCAACCGAGTTGGTTTTATTTTTCTCTCTCATTGCTAAACATGAAATGACATCGTTTGACCTAAAGAATAGTGGCATGTCAATTTATGCTTTATTATTTTTTTTATTGAAATATGTCTGGTTTGTGTATGAATGTTTTATTTACTTGTGGATTAATGTACTTTTTATTTAAATATTTCTGTTTTTTTATCTAAAGTAAGACAGTCACAATGAGCAATTCTTGTTATAAGAATGTGGAAGATTTTGATAGTTTTATATCTATAATTCACTTTTATCCAATCAAATCAAGACAAATAAATTTTAATATATAATAATATTAATAGCATAATTTGTTATAGAATAAATAATGTATAAAATTCAAATTTTTTAATTTGATTAAAAATTAATAACCTCAAATATATGAAGTTAATTACACAAGTTTGTAACTCAAGAATTTTATTCTCATTGTATTTTCTAGTGCTGTGTGCATTATTTCCGTCTTTTGTGAATTAAATTTTGATGGTATATGATGCAGCTTCCATCGATGCCAGTTCGACCCCATAGCCGGTGGAGAGATGACCCAACTTATAATTTTTCTGAAGCCAGAAGAAGAAATTTTCTAGATTTGAACGTATTCAACTATTTACTGTGGCTGGCGTTTCCTGTAAATAGATTTTATCTTTTCCCGTGCAGCGGTTGTTGTTAAAATGAGTGCTGTCTCCCCGGCGCCCTGCTGTTGATTCTTATTTCATATTTTGGGCATTTCTGGGCCTTATGGGTTTTCAGCCGATGATTTTCATGGGCTGGACATTCTTTTTTTTTTTTTCTTTTTGGAACTAGCACCAACTCCCCCTACATTGCATGGGAAGTATTCGCTAACACAACTTAATATAAAAGATTATGTTTATTATTGTCATAAACATCATTTACTCTCTCGTGTAATGCACAAGAAGCATATAGTTCCATTGTAATCAATTTAAGAGTTTTACAAATAAATATCATTGACAAAATTGCAATAATCATCACCAACCAACGTCTAATTTATATTATTGTATGTACTAACAATGCTGTTAAAGATGAAGAAACTAAATTTTAGAAAGAGATTGTTTAGTTTTAGAGTTCATTAAAGTTCTGAGATGTATCTTTTATCATTATTTTCACGGACGTGAAGGATAACATGTCTCATTAAATAGTCATTAACTAATTTTGAGGGAAAAACCTATGCGAGTAAACAGAAGCGTGTTGGGTGTTCGAGTTCTCTAGGATTAGAGCTTCCTTTTTTTTTTTTTTGGGGGGGGGGGTGGGTGGGGAAGATAGTTACTAACCGGACTAAATGGTAAAGTAGTAGTTATTGGCAATGAGGCTAATTTTTATTGGCCAAAAAAGTGGCAAGTAATAATTAATTTTTTTAAAAAAAGAAAAAAATAAAAGGGAGTTGTAAGAAGTTAAAATGCTAATTACGCCAAAAGACGTGGGAGACCCATACGCCCAGAATCGAGAAGATCTTGGCACAGGAAAGTACGTGAGCAGAGACCCCAAATCCCAAAGAGTTCGATCCTGCAATTTATGTTGCAGACACCAGACAAAATGAGCAGAGTGCCAAGAACTTAGAAGCACAAAACGGCAGAGAATCGACCATGGACGACAAGTAGAATACGTCAAAGCAAACAAAATTGAATTCACAAGTTTGGCGCCTACATTCATGCACTGCGTAACATGTATCACATTGAACAGATGGGAGAATCTAGTGTTGTTTGGCCTTCTCATCGTCCCTCAGCGGCAGAAGAAGAAGAAGGCTTCTTTGGAAGCAAGACGGGGTTGATATTCGGCAACACTCCCCCGCTAGCTATGGTTACTTCTTGCAGAAGCTTTCCCAGCTCATCATCGTTCCTCACTGCAAGCAGCACGTGTCTTGGATTGATCCTCTGCTTATTGTTATCACGCGCCGCGTTCCCTGCCAGTTCGAGCACCTACGCTCCACCGTTCCAGAAAAATCACAGAATAACCCCAGAACAAAAAAAAAAAAAAAAACCAGCGTAAAAACAGAGAAAATTATTATTATTATTATTATTTTTTTTTTTTTTTTTAAAAAGCGCTAAGCCTCAAGTGCATTGCAAAACCAGAGGGCATTGGGAGCGACTGAGCAATGAAATAAAAAAGATACCTCGGCGGCGAGATATTCGAGGACAGCCGCCAGGTAGATCGGTGCTCCGGTGCCCAAACGCTTAGAATAGCGACCTCTCCTCATGAACCTGGCTATGCGAGCCACCGGAAACTGAAGGCCGGCTTTCACGGACTTAGATACGACCTTCTTCCTGTTCCCTCCTATTCTTCCGCCCGTACCCTTAACGTCGTTCGCGGCCTCCATTGCCGACGCTGTCAAAGATCAAGCACCGAGCCTCTCCTGCACCGCCGCGTCTCAGTGTAAAGCCTGAAATGAGGACGCCGCTGGTATTAATACTGCTTAACGCTCGTTGTTTCTTCGATTCATTGCATCCGACGGTCTTCGCGTGAGCCTCGTTAGCGATCCATGGGTTTGATCTCCAGCGGGAAATGCGCGAAATGTTCGGAGATGATGAATGACCGAAATCACCATTTTCTTTTTTATTAATTAAAATTAATTTGATGGATGATCGTAGGGCCGAAAAGTTCCACACGCTGGCGATCCATCATTAAATTTTTAACTCCGGATCGTAAGGACCTATGAATTCTTAACTAAACTTGTTCGACTGTTAAACTAAATATATAGGATCAATCAAGTTAATGGGGAAAAAGAAAAGAAACTGGAGAATGCATCTCATGATGTAGTTTTTATAAAGAATCATGTTAATAAAAAGATAAGAGAACAGTGAAAATCCGTACGAAGAAGAGGCTATTTTTGTGCGCATACATACATAGACTAACATTGATGACCTGCCAAAAGAGAACAAATAGAAGTGGGAGGTGGCGTTAACGAATTTGAATTCTCGGGGAGGCGTTTTGATTGAAGCCGTCGGAAAGGTGAAGGTCCAGAGCTTCAGGGAAAGAGCAAATGATCTTCAACTGAATCCTCCTCAAGCACGCCGCAAACTCCAGAGCCTGATTCATGCTCGCTCTCGCTCCTTCCAATGCCTCTATTAGCTCCGTATTTGTCAGGTAATAGCCGCTTATCTGACTCAATATTCTGTCGTGTCTCTCTTGATATCTCGCCACTCTTTCTTCCGCCACCTCCAGCGCCTCGCTTACTATTCTCAGCTTTTCCGCCACCATCTTCTTCTTCTGCCATCTCCGCAGACTTGTCACGCCCACCAGCAACGAGCTCGACAACCCTGTAATGGCCAAAATGATGTTCCCAAACCTCATGGGCGTGCGTATCCTGTCCTCCCAAGTTTTGAATCAACTCACATTTCAAGAGGAAGGATACTTTGCTTTCATTTGGGGGACACCCCGTGGCTTCATCACTCCCTTCTTTTTTCCCGCTCATTCTGGAATATATATGCATTTAAAAATTGAAAGAAAAAGATAGCATGGAGAATATCAAATCCACTATTATAAAAAGCAAGGGGAGGACTCTGAATTCAAGTTCATGTACTTGATAGCTTGCCTCATCCCACCACACCACAAGCTCTCGTATCGCTTTTTAATTGCAAGGTCATATTCTCAATGATTTACTATCATTCCAATAATATGGCTTCGAACATGATTAAATAAAGAACAGAGTTTCATGAAACAGAAATAACTCAAAATTCTCGCTTCATGAACAAGAATAAAACTCTCGCCTATCCACAAAGGAGGAGAACAACCCTCCCAAAAAAGTCAAGAAGAAGAGAAAAGAAATAAGAGCCCAAGTCTACAGTTCATCGTTCGGTCCTGCGTCGTCGTCGTCATCAGAAGAAGAGCTTTCACCACTCCTCTCATAAACCTGCTTGATAACCGGATTACACACAGCCTCAATCTCCTTCAATTTCTCATCGAACTCATCTTTCTCAGCGTTTTGGTTGTCATCCAGCCACTCGAGAGCCTCCCTCAGTACATTCTCTATCTTCTCCTTATCGTCTGACTCGATCTTGTCTGCAAGCTTGTCCTTGTCATTGATAGTGCTCCTCATGTTATATATGTATGTCTCCAATGTATTCCTGGCATCAATCCGTTCCCTAACCTTTCTATCCTCTTCTGCCAATTCCTCAGCCTCCTTCACCATCCTTTCAATCTCTTCTTGGCTCAGACGCCCTTTGTCATTCGTAATTGTGATCGATTCCGATTTCTTTGCCGCCTTGTCCTCTGCTTTCACATGTAGGATTCCATTGGCATCAACCTCGAAAGTGACCTCGATTTGAGGCACTCCCCTGCAAGTATTATTAATCAACCAATCACTAGAAACTACATTCTCCTGTATTCTTCCCAATATCTTCCATTTCATTCAAGAATACAAATTTTACAATATGAAGGCCGTGTCTTGGTTAATTTCTCAACTTACCTGGGTGCTGGTGGGATGCCCGACAGGTCAAATCTCCCAAGCTCGCGGCAATCCTTAGTCAGGGTTCTTTCGCCTTCATAAACCTAAAAATTTTCAACACAAGGATTAGAATACAAATACAGTGGCAGTTACATAAGCAATTAGGGAAAAATCATGCTAATGATCTCACCTTGATGGATACTGTTGTTTGTTGATCTTGGTAAGTGGTGAAGACTTGAGACTTTTTGGTTGGAATAACAGTGTTCCTTGGTATCAATTTTGTCATGACACCGCCAACCGTCTCAATCCCCAGACTTAAAGGAGTAACATCGAGGAGAAGAATATCTGCCCAAAATAAAGCAAGTTCAACTTCAAGTTCTGACTCCAAATAACCAAAGAAGCATCAAGCAGAAAGTCCTTTGAAAATCAAGAAATAAATAGATATGCAGGTTGATTACGTTACCTTTGGTTTCTTCGCCGCCTTCACCGCTGAGTATTCCGCCTTGGATAGCAGCGCCATGAGCAACAGCCTCGTCAGGATTAATCCCTTTGTTCAGTTCTTTCCCATCGAAAAAGTCCACCAAGAGCTGTTGCACCTTGGGAATTCGAGTACTTCCTCCAACTAACACGATCTCGTTGATATCAGTCTTCTTCAGGCCTGCATCTTCCAAAGTTCTTTTCACCGGACCCATCGTCTTCTTGAACAAATCCATGTTCAGCTCCTCAAATCTGGCTCTTGTCAGTGATTCAGACAAGTCGATTCCATCAAAGAGTGACTCAACTTCAACCCTCACTTGGTGCTGGCTGCTCAGAGCTCTCTTGGCTCTCTCACATTCCCTCCTGAGCTTCCCCAAAGCCCTATTGTCCTTGCTAATGTCTTTGTTGTACTTCTTTTTAATCAACTTGATGAAATAGTCCATGAGTCTGTGGTCGAAATCCTCTCCTCCCAAGTGGGTGTCTCCGCTGGTAGAAAGGACCTCAAACACGCCATTATCGATGGTCAAGATGCTGACATCGAATGTACCGCCACCAAGATCATAAACCAATATGTTCTTCTCTCCTCCCTTCTTGTCCAGTCCGTAGGCTATGGCTGCCGCTGTGGGTTCGTTGATTATCCGAGCCACGTTGAGTCCGGCAATGATGCCAGCATCCTTGGTAGCCTGCCTTTGCGCGTCATTGAAATACGCTGTAATCACCAGGAACAAGAAGCAAATCAGACCACATGTGTATGCAGAGCTAAACTGATAAGTATAATTAATAAGCGGGGACACATATCAAATTAGGGAGTAAAAAGAACGAAAGAATGGTACCTGGAACAGTGACAACGGCATCTTTGATCTTCTTCCCCAAATAGGCTTCGGCCGTTTCCTTCATTTTAGTCAAAACCATAGCACTGATCTCCTCAGGGCTAAACACCTTGTTTTCTCCTTTGACTTTCACTTGCATGTAAGGTTTTCCATCCTTATTTATGACCTTATAGGGCAAGAACTTTATATCCCTTTGGACCTCTGGATCATCATACCTAACATTCAGAAGCAAATCAAACCCAGTTCAGCAGGCCATTCGATAACGAGAAGCCAAGAATTATTGACCTTAAAGAGACAGAAGATCACTCACTTCCTGCCAATGAGACGCTTAACATCGAAAAGTGTGCGTTCAGCGTTGAGAGGCGCTTGATTCTTCGCTGCCTCTCCGATCAAACGCTCTGTGTCAGTGAATGCGACCCATGAAGGAGTGATTCTGTTCCCTTGATCGTTCGCTATGATCTCCACGTGACCATTCTTGTAAACACCCACGCAAGAGTAGGTAGTACCCAGATCAATACCGATCACAGTTCCGAGTTTTGGAGATTCTTCAGCAGCTATAGCCAATCCAAACAGAAATTCTGAAAAGGACAGAAAGAATACATTAGAATAACTCGAGAACAAAATAAATAAGCAATAAAAAAGCTTCTCTTTCAATTCCAATGTCGCTGCATTATATTATAGTATCTTGTAGGGCGTAATATTCCATTTCTTTTCTTTTTTCTTTTAATACAATGGTGTAGCATTCCAAAAGGAAGAAAAAACACATGAGCGGAACCTTACCTAAAGAAAATAGAAGCAGAATTGCCAATGCTTTATTCTTCGACATGATCATGCTGATTGGTTTAATACTTCTCACCTTCGTCCTGGCAGACGCTTGCTCTGTTTTGTAACTTGGTTGCCAAAGGTCGGCTCTTCAAAATGGGGGGCGATAGATATATATATATATATATATATATCTGTGTTTGTGAGTCCCCCATGCTAGAGTGTTCTCTCCAATACAGAGATACCACGTCAGTATTATGGGTGCAATGCGGTGCGGACCCTTCCTGGCATAACACGTGAAATGACCAATAGAATGTCGACACGTCACTGCAATGAATATACCGGTAAAACCTGGAAAGTTCATGATTTGTTGAGCCATGGAGGGCGCACGATGATGAGGCCTGGGTTTCTCTTTCGTGGGCTTCAGATTGCACCAAGCTATGGGCTCAGCCTCACATGTATGGGCCTGGTCTGGCTCTCGCCTTCCGTGACACTGTGACAGTGGAATCGGGGATTTCTTTTCTTATTCTTAAAAAAAAAAATTGACATTTAAGAACCACTCAAAAAAATTATTTCAGACAGTGACTAATATAAAATAAATTATTATTAAAATAAAAACATAATTTATTTTTAAAATAAAACTCATTAATTATTGTATGTGAGTAATTTGTACGATTGATTTTTAAATGTGATTCTTCCTCCTTTTTTTATTGTCATGAGGATTGGGCGATGCCTTAGAATTCTCCGCGGGAGAGAAATTTTTTGCATTTTATAGCAAAACTCTTCCAAAAATTGATAAAAACATTCATTTCAAGGAGTGGTTTATTTAGTGAAAGCAAACTACTAGGTACGCACTAGTATAAAATTATTAATATATAATATTATTAAAAATAATGATTTAAAAAAAAACGTCATGTAAAAAAGAGATAGGTGATGATTGTATAATAAATGATGGGTGTTATTAACACCCATCATTTATTTCATTAACATATATGATAGGTGTTGTAATGCTTCAAATTCTACCTTTAAAGAAAATTAAAATTAATAAC